TAAGAACCCTAGAAGATTTTGGAAAGAGGAAGCAATTTTCGTTTATGTGTATTTGATAGCATTAGCCGAAAATTCAAAGTTATAAGGCTTTTTAGAGCTGATTAGGAAATACCTAGAAACCCTAGTCTGAACATAAAATAATATTATTTCAAATATGGTAATCATCTAGTTCCTTAATTATCTTTATGAAGGCATCTAAAAGACTCCAAAGGAGCCTCCAAACCGTCCCACATAGGAGGGTTCTAGAACTTGTCCTCTCCTAAGGTTTTGAACAATTACAACTATAGTCCTTTAAATTTTAATAAATTTTAGTTAACCTATAATTAATTCCAAATTAATTTTGATTAATTCTAAATTAATTACGACTATTTCTAATTAATATTGTAGCCACTTAATATATTAATAAATCATTGATCTCTCTTAAAAACCAATCTAGACAATTTCTTAGTTATGAGGGCAACCCCAAAAATCCTTTACTTTTATTCTCCAACATTATACCAATTTAGTTAGTACCCTAAACACCTTAATCCAACAGTCTCCCACATGGATAGGTAGCTAACCATAATTTCTCCTACAACTCCGAATAACCAGTAAAGAGTGTTTTCAAGACACTACTAGACTATGTAGGTCCTAAGATAAGTGATCACCTATTCCTTCGTTCCTCTCGATATCCTATGAAGATAAGAAATGGATTAGAATCAATGTATTGTCCATGATTCAGTTTCTCTATAATCTCGTTTTGTGATGACGACATAAGACTACTAATCGAACCCATCAATTTAGTCATGGATGGGCCCAACATTATAATGTCAACATCAAAACACAGAGGGGCCCAAAGATATTATTTTTTCCTAAGGCACAGGAATGAATAAACTTCAATTATATAATAATACAAATTTACTCATCGAGTCCTACATGGAATTACACTTTATATCACCCAGATACGAGATGCGTTGGAGTAAATCGATGTACAACCAATTCGTAAAATATGACTTACAAATATTCGTTTTAAGAATGGAGGATATTCTCATCTTAGACTTACAGTGATTTTAGAGAGTGACCAGTATTATCGGCGCTAAAAAAGGGCGGAAACTAAGATCGAATTTTATTAAACATAGATAATAATAATGCAACATTATAATTTACAAATTAATACTTTGGTTAATACATTATAATATTTAAATAATTTTTAATTATATATATATATATATATATATATATATATATATATATATATATATATATATATATATAAAAGATAAACATGTTAACGGGTTGAAAACAGGTTGATTTTTTACCTAACCCAACCTATTTAATTGAATGGATTAGACGTGTTGACCCATTTAAGTTTAATGGGTTGAAAATTTCAACCCAACCCGCAAATTTTGGGTTGGGTTGATTTTTGCCAGCGTCGTTCGTGATGGGTTTTACATGTAATAATGCAGGAAACACCTTAAACTCTTAACGATACATGCAAGGTAATTGGATCTATGTCATAATTCTATTGAAGCAACATACTATTGATCAATAAATGTGACATCCCGAAATTTAGGTCAAAGACTGTGAACGGTCAAATTCAGAGTAAATCTTTTTGTAATTTTAATTCATTGAGTTTTAGTGCATCTTGTATGAAATAAATCACACAACTCAAACTACAACCATATCAATGCATCTGAAAAACTAAAATTTCGTATTAAGTAGTTGTGAGCAAGTCAAACATTCTAGTCTCGTTGTTCATGTTACCATGTTTCCGAAAATATAAAGAACGTCCAAAATGGAGTTCATATGGAAAAGATACGACCGTTTTAAGAATCCAAAACTAGTATAATACTGATTTTCTTAAAAACTGTCAAAACCGTTTAAGTTAAATGGGCTGAAAATCCCAACCCTACCCGCTATTTTTGGGTTGGGTTCGGGTTGGGTTGGCGATTAGGTCGGTTTTTGCCATCGTAATTTGTGATGGGTTTTACAAGTAATAATGCGAAAAATACCTTAAATTCTTAACGATTCATGCAACCTAATTGGATCTATGTCATAACTCTATTGAAGCAACATACTATTGGACAATAAATGTGGCATTCCAAAATTTAGGTCAAAGGCTGTGAACGTTCAAGTTCACAGTAAATCTCTTTGTAATTTTATTCATCAAGTTTTAGTGCATCTTATATGAAATAAATCAAACAACTCAAACTGCAACCATAGCAATGCGTCTGAAAAACTAGAATTTCGTATCATGTAGTTGTGAGAAAATCAAACATTCTAGTCTCGTAGTATATGTTTCTTTGTTTCCAAAAATATAAAGGACATTCAAAACGGAGTTCGTATGCAGAAGATTCGACCGTTTTAAGAATCCAAAACTACAATAATACTGATTTTCTTAAAAATTGTCAAAACCGTTTCTAACCGTTGAAGAACTGCACACGTCAGATGAAAATTTCCAGAACGTTTTTGGACTCAGGTGATAGTCTAATATTTAACTTCATGTTTGAAATATTTTTAGTAAAAATACTTATAAAAATCGAAAAATCAGACGTTTTAAGATTTATAAATACCTAAACCTTAAACTATTTATTTCGACAATATTTCCATTATTGGTAATGTATTCCTAAATAATATATATATATATATATATATATATATATATATATATATATATATATATATATATATATATATATATCCAAATTCAAGTTGACATGGATTTTTACGATGGAATAGCCTATATTTCTAAATTCATTCATGGAACATAAGTTATGAATGATTATAAGAATTTGCTATATATTTTCATAAAATATACTATATATTTGTGTCTAATAAGAAACAACTATTTCTTCCAACTAATATGCCTACCCACTAGAAACATGACACACGTCATCCTTCTCCAATCCCATTTAATTTTAGTTGATATCCCTATAATACCCTTAATGAGGTAATTGAAAAGAAAGAAAAAATCACGCAAACAAAAAGAAGTAAAATCACGTAACCAGTTTCTTCCATACTGCTCCAACCCTATTCTCGTTTGATTATTCTCATCTGATTGTTCTCGTTCTTCTCTGTTGCACACATCGACATTGACATCGACAGCCATAGCCATCATAGAGCAACATGGCAACAGATAATTTTTTTTACATTCTCGTTTCCCCGCTGGTATGATTATCTTATTTATTGTTAATACAATTTTTGTTTTATTGTTGAAACAATCTCTGGTTTGATTAGTTGGTTTGTTGTTAAAAAAATCTTTGTTTTATTGTTGATATAGTCTTTGATCAGTATGGAGGATGCGGATTTAGGTGAAGGGGATACAATTATCAATCCTCAAGATCAAAACAGTCCTAAAGTTGGAATGATGTTTGATTCAGAAAACGAACTTGAAGATTACTTTAAAAAATACACATACCAGATTGGATTTGGTGTACGAAAAGCTAGTACAAGAACTAAAAAAGTGTATTGCCACAACGTACTACTTACTTGGATGCTCCAGAGGAGGTGTATATGAGCCTAAGACAAACAAACCATATCTAAAGTCTTCTAAAACAAATTGTCAAGCAAAAATTTGTGTAATTGTATATGGTGATGGAAGATGTACTATCTCTCATGTTTTTCTTGAACATAACCATGCTTTAAGTCCCAGAAAATCTCGTTTTCATCGATCACATAAGAAAATGGATTCATATGCCAAGAGAAGACTTTAGTTTAATGATTATGCTGGAATTCCATTAAACAAAAGTTTTCATTCATTAGTTGTTGAAGCGAAAGGGTATGACAACTTGCCATTTGGCAAGACAGATTGTAGATCTTACATTGCAAAAGTAAGACAACTAAGACTTGGGCAAGGGGATGCTGAGGCACTTCGTAATTATTTTGTCCGTATGCAAAAAAGAAGTTCAAATTTTTTCTACGTGATTGACATCGATGATGAACGTCGTATGCAAAATGTATTTTGGGCAGACGCAAGGTCTAGTGCAGCTTACGAGTCATTCCGAGATGTTATTTCATTTGACAACACATATTTAACGAACAAATATAATATGAATTTTGCACCTTTTGTTGGAGTAAATCACCATGGACAATCTATCGCATTTGGATGTGGTTTGCTTTCTCGAGAGGATACAGAAACATATGTATGGTTATTCAATTCATGGTTAGAATGCATAAATGGAAGGGCATCAAAAGCAATAATAACATATCAATGTCGATCAATGCAAGGAGCTGTGGCACATGTATTTCCCGAATCTCATCATCGTCTTTGTCTTTGGCATATTATGAAAAAGATTTCTGATAAATTAAGTAGGTTGGATCACTATAAAGTAATAAAGAAGACTTTAAAAACCCTTGTGTATGAGTCTACGGACACTCAAGAGTTTGAAGATGGGTGATGCGAGCTGGTTGAAAAATATGGACTTGAAAAAAATGAGTGGTTATGTTCTTTATTCAACAATCGAAGTCGTTAGGTGCCGATATATGTAAAAGTAAACTTTTGGGCAGGGATGTCTACTACACAACGAAGTGAAAGCATGAATCCTTTTTTTGATGCATATTTTAATTCTAAAACATCATTACAACAATTTGTTGAGCAATATGACAATGCGCTAAAAAGCAAGATTGAGAAAGAAAATAAGGCTGATTTTGAGTCTCTTAATTCTTCATATAAGTTAGTAACTGGGTTTTATTTTGAGAGGCAGTTTCAGGAGGCATACACAAATGCAATATTTAAGTTGTTTCAAGATGAGATACGGGGAATGTTGTTTTGCAATTCTTTATTGATCAAAGTGGATGGTGCACAATATGTATTTCATATCACATATATTATTGAAGGAAAGATGGAGATTTAAAATGAAAGAGTTGTTTATACCATTAGGTATGATGCAGTTGCATTTGATATACAATGTTCTTGTCATTTGTTTGAGTTACGGGGAATTATTTGTAGGCATATGGTGAAGATATTGATTGAGAAGGATGTTAAATAAATTCATCCACGGTATATTTTGTCTCGGTTGAGGATGGATGTGAAGCATGGAAACTACTCGGTGATAAATTGTTATGAAGTATTGATGAGTGGTGAAAATGATAAACAGTTTGACTACATGTGTTCCAATTTTTATGAGGTTGCGCATATTGCTAATTCTCACAAAAAGTATGAATACTTGCTAAGTTGTATAAATATGGCTAAAGAAAAGTTAAATGATGATTTATTTTGGGGTTGTAGTAGTATTGTAAATTTGATAGTTGAAGATGTTCATGTTCCAGACTCGACTAAAAAATTGTTACCACCCTTGCAAGTACGTAGTAAAGGTCGTCCACCATCCAAGAGAAAAGAATCTAGAGTAGAACGGGTTATGAAGAAGAATAGAAAGAAAAATGTAATATTTTATCTATTCAGCTTTTTTTTTGTTTAATATAGTTTTTTAATAACTGCATTTATTTAGGTACTTGAATAAACGGATAACATACAACAAGATCCAACGGGTCCGAGTCGTGAGCATGGAGCAATTTCCTATAATGATGAGCCGAACTACCAATTTGATCTTAATGTACCGGTTTGAACAAAAAGGACCGTGAATATGTGGAAAAGACTGATTTTCAGTTTTAGTTATTTTTAGATTAGTTGTTTTGAAAGAACCGATTGGCATTGTGAAAGTATTAAGATTTGGATTTCTTGGTTTCAAAATAAAGGGCACATTGGTCATTTTTGGAATAATTATGATTTTATTTCTTTGAGGTTCAAAAGATTTTGCCATGTGTACTTTTCTGAAGTTTCCTATGATGTATACCAATAGAGTTTTACATGATACATACAAATGGAACCAAAAATAGCAATGCACTTTAAAATTTAAATCAAGAATAGCAATGCACTTTCAAAATAAAAAGTGGGATAAATTACAAAAAAAAAATTACAAATAGAGGGGCATTTATGTCCAAACATTTAACAAAATGGAACATTTGGCCTTTTTGTCCCGGTTTACAAAATACAATACAGGGGCATTTGTGTCCAAATGAGAAATGAAACTAATGGACATTTTAATAATATCATCTAGAAGAAAGAATACATACATTGAACGACATGTGCTTAGTTTAATACAATAATTGATATTGAACCCAAATGGTGTGCTATTTCTTCCTAAGGACATGTCCATTTTCTTCTCTGTCAATGCTATTGCGACGGTTACAAGTGGTTTTGTAGCCATCTGCACAAGCTCCTCCAAACATTTAAGCTTGATAAAGTTAGACCAAATATTATGTGATATACACATTCCATGACATAATGAACTATTGAAGATTCAATTGCAAATTAGTTTTCAGATTATATCAACAAAAAAATATTGGCACCAGCAAACTCATTCAATTGGTCAAAAAAAATTCATACAGTATCTCCTTCAAATTCTGTTTATGGATAATAACATTTAAATTTTGATAAAGCTATGTCTAAAAATCAACAAATTGATTTACTCCTTCTTGGTCTTCAAAAAAATCTTTTATTTGATCTTCGTTTATGGGTTTTACTACATTCTTCAAATTATACAGGTAAAAGTTCAACCAAAATACACAATGGAATTCCATAGAAACCTCGAGTGGATCAATACAACAAGGTTCGATGCATTCAAATCAGAATCCAACCTGTCAATAACAACAGATTTAGAGTATGAATCGGGCCCCTTGTGCTGATGATAAATGTGTGGTGAATGATGATATCAATTGAAAATTAGGAGGCAACAATTAGGGGTGTCGATTGAAGATCAGCAGCGATTGAAGATCAGTAGAAGAGAGTGGGGGTGTCGATTGAAGATCAATAACGATTGAAGATAAGTAGAGGCGAGCTAAGGTGTCGATTGAAGATGAATAGAATGTAGAAGATAATGGAAGATGTCGATGAAAAAAATAAGAGGACGTCTGATCTTACGTAATCTGTTTATTTATTTATTTATTTTCAATTACCTCATTATGGGTATTATAGGTATATCAACTAAAATTAAATGGAATTGAAGAAGGATAACATGTGTCATGTTTCTTGTGGGTAGGCATATTAGTAGGAAAAAATAGTATGAGGTAATTTAATTTCTCAAATATTAATCATATTGTACGTATGTAGGAAAATTACAGCACTTCCACAACACTAATATAAATATGTTTTGTATATATATTTATACGTGAAACTCATAATATGTGTGTGTATACATACAAATATATATATATATATATATATATATATATATATATATATATATATATATATATATATATATATTGTTTTCGAAAGTCTTTAACAAATATACATATGTATTGTACCATTTTGATGGTTCGCAGGTTTAATTATATAAATATGCATCATATATATTTTTATATTTAAATCTTATGAAATTATTAAACAAAAATACTATAACTTGCTAAATGATGAAGTTCTTATTTCTCCTTTCTCATTCTCGTGTATTATATCACACACACAATTTTATTAAACGTGGAAGTAAAGTCCAACCAAATGCATACCTATTGCATCATTATTATTAAACATAAAAGCCTACAATAAATCTATTAGAAATTATACTAATACACACTCCAATACCAAATCAAATGCAAAATACCAAATATATATTCAAGTTAAATCAATACGATAATTAAATTACAAGTCAAATTAATTTTGAAGTTATTTCCACATTTCAATTTATCTAAGTTTATACAAAAAAGAAACACTAAATCACACATAAAGGAAAGGTTTCCTTGTAAAACACTAAAACTGTCAATGAATCACCAAATAACAACATCCGGTTTTTTTTTCTCCTTCTCCTTCGTTCCAGTGAAGAACAACTCCATAGGAGGTGTTGTCCATGTGAAATCAGTCAAAAGAAATGGACTTAAAGCCTCCATCGTACTTCCCCATTCTTTTGTCGAATAAGCAAACCAAACACCACCTTTCTTCATCTTCTTGATGCCAATACCAACCAACTCAACACCCACCTAAATCCATTGATTAAACCCATCGATTTTTGTCAAAAATTAAACCCAAACACCCCCTTAGGTTCTATCGGCTACTGACACACAGTCCAAAAAAAAAAAAAAAAAAAAAGGAGAAACAAACCTGCTATTATCCAGCAAACAGTGGAAGCGAGGCACCGAAGTCCATCCCTCCTTTACCGTCGACCTTCATTGCCAAGCCTTACCATCTGCGGTACTATTGCTGAATCATTTTCCCCATCGCACCCCACACGTCCTCCGGTCGAAAAAACCCCCACTTACCACCGATCTGCCTTCATTTCCCTTTCGCAAACACCACCGAATCACCCCTTTCCCCTCACTCTCTTTCTCTTATGTTTCCCGTTGGCACCAGAATTCCGAAGCTCTTGTCTGCACTGCACCCACCGAGACCGAATCAACTTCGCTACTTCTCCCCTTCGGTCCGTCGAACCCCGGAGACATCAATCCTTCTCGCGATCGATCACTGAAACCACGCCTGCTCCGGTGCTACTTTTGCTTCCAACGCCCGGACTTCTCACCTCGCAGTCGGACAAGGAGAGTGAAGCTTCGTTTCTTCAGCCTCGCCGGCCCCGGAGACGACGACCTTCCCTCGCCATTCGATCGGCGAATGTTGCCTGCGAGCCTCGTGATCCTTTCAATCGCCATCCCTCTGCTTTCGTAGCTTTCCATTTCCTTTGCTCGATTAAACAAAATAACGGGGGCTTAAAAGCCCTAATTTCAGTTTAGCTTGTGAAAGGACCAAACTACCCAATCCCCAAATATTGATTCCATTTATTAAAAACAACCCATTCTTTGGTAATTACTAACCAAAACAATCCCCTCTATTCAAGAAGTTACATACCAGCCCATATAGTTTGTTCAAGTTACCAAATCAGTCCCTCTCTTGATTTATTCTAACTGAATCAGTCCTGTTTCGGTTAATTAAATTACCTAACAACCGCCAATAGTTTGAATTCGATACAAAACGTTCCTGGGAGTATTTCACAATTCAAGAATTATGGATTTGCTGTTTCACACGAACAGTTTCTCAAAAGAATCCGATTTCGAACAACTTGAACTCATGATTCAATGGTGAATAGGGGGAATATATATGCCTATATATTTTGTTGATATAAATCAATTACCTTTTTATGCAAAAATATAATAATCTTAGTTTATAAAAATATTACTATTTAACAATTTACTATATTGTTACAAATAAACTAGTATAAACTTTTTGTATATATATTATGGTTATTTTATGGTAAAATAACTAGTCCACAATACAATTGCTACATGATACATAAATATATTATTTTTGTATAACATTGTGTATTATAGCAAGCAATTTATAAAACTTTGTAGTATTTCAAAGATTCAAGCTATTACTATTCATATATATATTTAAATGTTTAAATATATAAATTTTATACATATACATTTGTTCATCACTTTGAAACATACATCTTTATAAAAGTGAGTACATTACACATTTACATACATACCAAGCATACTCGACTTTTATAAACATCATAAAATTGATATTCATTATGCTTAATGACTTAATCATAATGAAGGTACGGCTGAAAGCTATTCACAAACTTTTAAGTTAAGGACTTTTTAGTGAAACGTTATTCATTAGCTAAGTCTAAACACTTAGCATATCCACACTACTATAACCATCAATATTTAGAGCATGATATATATATATATATATATATATATATATATATATATATATATATATACGGGGTTGACATCCCCACTTGCAGTTTCTAACTACAACCTCGGCCAATCAATCGAAGCGGGTGATAAGTGTCTACGATTGTTACTACAACGTCCAATAGAGCATTGTAAAGGGGGGGATGTGAAAACTATTTTAAGCATGGAATTACTGGTGGTTGTCGAGGGCAACAAAATTTAATAACCCTAAATCTTGTACACTAGATTAGTGTATAATGGTAAAGGGATCGTATCCTCAGAGATTCGTTCAATTTTATAACTCTATGAAAACCTCTTTATAAAAATACTTGTAAAATAACAATAAATTAAAAATAGGGGGTGGTCTTTTGAAATGCTTGAAATAAACTAGGATTAATCTAAGATTTAAATAGAAACTTTCAACAAAAACAAGAGTTTGATGTAAAATCAATAAAGGAAAGACGGTTGACAAAAGGTTTCCTTACTTTGACTTTGATTAATATATCATTAGAATCTAATGATGCAATACTTGTTTTAAATCCTTAATTTGGCTATATTAATCCAAATAGCTTTGACATTAATTATAATTTTCTTAGTTATTAAAATAGTTAGAGAAACTTATAACAATTTCCTTAGTCAAAGTCATAATTTGCATTAAGAATGTAATTAGTGAAAATCAACTAGCGTTTAGAATTAAAATGTCACCAGAACCACGAGGAGTCAAATGCTTTCACAACCATGCTTGAGGAAATGTTTTTATAATTGTGTGAAGCAAAACTAACACAAAAATCATGTGTTACTTGCTAATTTGAGGATATTTAAATTAATCAAGAAATTAGCAAAAGAATCATCACAAATACATTTATACTAATGAATAAAAACATATCAGTAGTGATAATATGTTAAAATACAAAACATTCCATAAAGATTCAATAACAAGTTTATGAAATCTTCAACATTCAACAACTAGACAAAAGATTTCACCAAAGTCAACCAATTTTTGGTTTAGCCTAACATCGCTAAATAGATGAAAACAAAGTTAGAAGAGATTGTACAAAACATTCAACGAGATTAAGGGCAATAATGATGAAGAGAATGCTAAAGTGGCACACCAACCTTCCCAATATAGAGCTTTAAGTAAAATTCCTAAAATGCCCCAACAAAAACCCATGCGAGCCGCATGGGTAGCTTACGTGGGCCGCGTAACAGTGACAGAGTTTTTGCCCTTCTTCAAGTGTTGGGCCTCAACAACTTAACCATTGGCCCGGTTTCAGCCCGATCAGTTTCTAGCCCATTTTTATTCAAGATTTCCTCAATTTGATCCCAATTATCCTTTTCTAAATGATCAATAGCTTCCGTAATCGCCCGATTATCTATCTCCGCACACTCGAAAATTCTCCCACATCTTCCAAATTTAAAGTTTATTTCTTCCAATCCTTCAAGTAATGGACAAGCTCACTCCATGCATCACATCTATAGCCATCAAGCCCAAAATCATTGTTGTCCTCCAAGTCCAAGTGCTTCCCAAATATTCCTCTCTGCTAGTCTCCTTAAAATTTGCAGTTATACTCACGAGCGTAGAAAGTACCTGAAATGGTCATAAAATAACAAAAAGGAAAATATGCTTGGAAATTAACTAAATTATGAATGAATTATACTAAAATAAACTATAAAAAGTAGTAAATAAAATAAATTATCAATTCCTTATGTAACATAATAGTTTGGAGAAGCATAGTTAGCTTTGTCTTTATTATCCACATGAGAGATACGAAACACTTTCTCTGTGTTCTGAATTCAAGTTAGAACAACTACGGGATTAAGGACACCAGAAAATTCTGTAGCACCGCTACTCTTGAAAGTCTTGAATGAGGGATGTCTCATCTTCTCTCCCAAAGATTCTCTGGTGGCTTTCTCTTTGCCTTTATCATTATTCTTTTTATGTTCTTCGAGATTCTCGAATAACACCAGTGAGTTTATCCATAAGTCACACCACGCGAGGAGATACTGGAGTGTTCACTTCATCAGGTTGAGGACCTCCACCCACTTCTGGTGTATGGCAACCTTCATGTTCAACCATTCTCCTGAAATATAGGAGTAACATAGTCTTTTAGAATATTAGGATTTATTATTACCTAATACTTTTACTAAATATTTCCTATTGTTTGTATCCATATTCTTACAATGATTCAGTTCATATATTGAACTTCCAATATTTTAACTTTAAGAACCAATCTATGGCATTTAGTTCCCTTAAACTACTGCTCTGATACCATGATTGAAAGACCCCTCAAGCTTTTAGAAGTTAACAACAGTTGTTACTTCAAAACATGGTACATGCATATTCATAAAACATATTATATTATACAATGATAGTTTGATTTCCAAGACTGGATACAAACCGACTAAGATTTAATATTTTACATAACTACCCAGGATATTGTAGTTTATACAAACATAAACTGAAGTACAAAAGTACTATTACAAACTATTCTAAATCTTCGAGCAGTATACTACCATACTGCTTATTTATCACCTGCGATTGAACATTGAGAAGGGTAAGAGGTGACGCTTAGTGAGTTCAATAATAGATACAATATAACATTATGGCACATCAAACAATGAGGCATAAGAATTTCCATACTTGATATATAATCAATAAAACTTCAACACAATTGGCATAGAAAATACTCGGGAATATAATTTGGCTAGAATATTCAGGTTTTCAGCCTTATCTTAGCATACTGCCGAAACTAGAGTGATGCCTATGTCATACACTTCATGGTCAACGGTACATACCAATACCCAAGTGATACCTATGTCATACACTTCGTGGTCAGAGGTATAGCCTTGCTAAAAAATAGCAGAAATAATAACACGAGATGATACCATGGAAAAGCACATAGCATATATAACACATAACATACAATTGTTCCTATATATTGAACTCACCTTGAAATAATTGGGGTTACAATATTAATTTGGGCAACACTTCAACTCCAAACATGACTTTCTGCGATGAAACCGGGGTTTTTCTTTGAAAATCGGCCTTACACGGGGAAAGTTTCGTCTAAAAATATAATTTTCTCGGGATCTTTAAGGCGTCGAGACTTGCTTCGGGTGTCGGGATTGATACCGAGACTTCGGGGGAGTGTTAGGGTAAATTTGGAGAGAGTATAAGGTGAAAAAGTGTAAGAATTATAAACCAAATTCAACTTCCTTCGCAATCTATTTATAAGGGTCCAAGGCTCGCATTACGTTGGGTGTACTCCGAGGCGGCCATCTACGCGGGGCGTAGCCTTCGTATGCTGGGCGTACCAACGAAGAGTCATCGACTTGGAACCTGGGCTTCAAACGTGGTACATAAGGCGAAGAGTGAGAGACGTTGCTAATTCCAGATCGCACACTTATGCTGAGTGTAAGCTCATACGCTGGGCGTACGGCTCCGGATAATACTTCGATTTTTCATTTATTTTTATTTAATAAATTCAAAAATTCATATCTTTTGCGTACGAACTCCGTTTTGACGTTCTTTATATGCACGCGTAAGTGAAAATATACTCTACAACTTCCATTTAGATTCTGTCGGCTAATTTTGACTTCATTTTTATTATTATATTTTTAACGGGCTGGGACAGAAAAAGTCCGTTAAAAATTCATAACTTCTTCATCCGATGTCCATTTTCGTTAGTCTTTTTACCGTTGTACAACTAATGACGAGTCCTTCGATTCTCGTTTAGGTTGTTTCGGCTAAATATCGCTCGATCTTTATTTCGAGTTTTTAGCTGTCTACTGCTAATCCGAAAGTTAGAAAAATCATAACTTCCTCATACGAAGTCAAATTCAAACGGACTTTATATAAAAGTTGATTATTTTTACGAGTTCTACAAATTTCATTTAGATCACTAAGGCTAAAAAGTAGTTTATCGAAAACTCACTTTTTATGCGACATAGTGTTTGTCGGTTTTATCGGGAATCTTCGAT